CCCTGCGGCTCGTGATGACACATTGATGTCCTAAGACACGAAACGATCGGTTTGTGTTTTGTCAGTATTTATATAATTTTTTACCTCTAATACACCACTATGTCCAACTGCCTTGAGCACGCGCAAGGCATCCGGTGCGTGAGGTGTGTACGCGCTCTGGCGCAGTTTACGTTAATGGGTGTGTTGATATCCAGCCGAAGAGCAATCAACCATAACTTCAGGCAAGCAGGCTCAGAAGTTGGGAATACGTGGAAAGTCACCACTCCCGAATGAGTTTGCGCGAGAGAACGTAATCTTTTAGTTTTAAGTCGGTTTGAACAATCCGGATAAGCGCAAGTAAGTACCATTTTGATTAGCCATCGTACCTACAATGACTGTGCACTGTGTAAACAATGAGTGACGTATACGTGCAAGAGATCACTTCCGGCGCTTGCGCAAACTACACCAGAGCGCGTATACACTTCACGCACCGGATGCCGTGCGCGCGCTCTAGGCAGTTGGACATAGTGGTGTATTAGAGGTAAAAAATTATATAAATACTGTTCGGTTTCTCGTACAAACCGATCGTTTCATGTCTTAGGACATCAATGTGTCGTCACGAGCTGCAGGGTTTAATTTGGATTTGTCTGTGCATGTTTTTTTTACTCTCATAGATTTTGTTACCATTGCCATGCATTATACAACTGATAGACTGCAACGGTTAAAGTTAAAAATCATAATATGTGTTCTACTGAAGAAACAAAGTCACCTACATCTTGGATGCCCTAAGCAGATAAACATCAAATTTTCATTTTTGGGTGAACTATCTCTTTAAATTTCGATTCCTTTCTTTTTATCCTTTCTTATATATATACTGAAAATTTGTTTATTTTATTTCTTAAATTTAGTTATTTCATTTGTATTTCTTGGATTTGATTGATTAATATTTTTATTAGTACATACAGTATATGCCTTTTTCACTGACATGGAGCTGGTTGAGAATTGATTTTAAATGTTAAATAAATTATACATAAACACACACATCATTATATATAAATACATTATTTAAATTATATTTTTATATATAAATATGCCTTTATTTTATATATTTCTTACATTTATTTATGAATACATTTATTATTATTTTATGTTTTTCTTAAATGTGTATATGACAAAAATGTGACTTTTTATAAGTATATGATCATTTGCGTTATTTTTTATCTTTGTGCATTTTTTTAAAGATTAATTTTATTAATCTTTTTTTTTATATATTTTATTTTATTAACATGTCAAACTGACAGTCCTACTCACTTTATGATAGAAACAAGAGTTACAAGTATAAGAGTTAACCAGTTAATTATTATTATTATTATTATATAATTGACTTAAATAAACATTTTAAACAGCACTTTTCATAAAAACATGATTAGTTGAATTTTTGCACATTGCTATTTATGTTGAATTTGATTCAGTTAACGTTAAAAAGCCCTTCTTGTTATATATGGCAGCAAATTGTTTGTGTGTATGGTGAATTTCCATACGTGTATTCCGTCAGTTGCGTAGAACTCTTACAAATGTCTAAATGTCATTACATTAGACAATATCAAACTTAGCGGCATCTGCAAACAAATCATGCTAGTGCTTTTCTCAGAACTGATGTCTTTTCTGAGACTTTTTTTTTTTGTAATCTGTTAAATTTCAGACATACTGTAAATGTTTTCTTTGAATGCCACATAAAAATGTTCTTAAAAAGTCTTTTTACAACTAAATGTACACCCTTGGTGCTGCGTGCACTATGCTAATATCCTCATTAAAAATGTATTCATCTGCAATTATAATTAAAAAGGCTACAGCCTCATAGCATCAGCCCTTTTTCTTTTAATGTGGCAGAAAAAGACGTCGGTCGAAGGACGAAGCATGTCCTTGTGTTTGAGACGAGTGTGCTAGCCTGGCATGTGACGGCACCTTGCAGTGTCGGCTTCTATCGCCGGCGTGTGACTCCTAGCTGTGATCTTTGGCAGCTTTTGGTTTGCTGGGACTTCTTGCTACTGTGCTTAAAAATCAGTATCAGTATCAGAATCCAATTTGCTAGTTAAAGAAAAAAAGAGAAAGAAAATCTGAATTCTAAATCAGTTATGATCGGGCGCATTACTAATTAAAATACTAAGTAAAAGGCCTCAAATTTGAAGTAAAATCTGGGATGTCTTTTTCTATCAATTCTTCAATAGGTAGATCTTGTCTTTCATAAAGGCCGAGGTCAGGGATCTTGGTCCTAAAAAGGTTGGTGACCACTGATCTAGATGCTAGTCAGATTAGCAGATGCTAACTCCAAAATCATTAACAAAACTATAGTTTCACTTGAGAAACATGGTTTGTGCTGACCACAAAATGTTTGTTTACAGGTATTAGAAATGTAGCAGTTTATAGTAATATTAATAAATTTACATTTGATTTCACTTTTATATGGCTTGCTACTGTAAAACCTAGTTGAGAAGCACTGCGTTAGATGACACTAAAATCAGTGGATCACACAAAAAGGCAATGATGAACAGTTCAGGAGAGCAGCAGTAGAAAAATAATAAATAAATGCATAAAAGTCGAACTTAATTAATGTTTTCTAATTTGAAAATGAAAGGAACTGCTGACAGAGATCAAGAGATGCAAATGTGTTTGGAGATTAATACCGCGAATCTCTGTAGCACAGGTCACACTGTTTTCACATTTGAATCTTTATGAAGCTCATAACTCACTGATGTAAAATTAATACTCTGTATGTGGTCCGGCGCCTAATTACTCCGAAATAATTAGAGGACCCCTCCCTTAATTGACCTTTTGGAAAGACAGCATCAAAACAAATTTGATCAACGAGGGTTATTTTGAGGTGAGGTGGAATCCAGAAACGTTTGCCATTTGAGACACATGAATTTATTTTACTGTAATGAAAAGTAAACATTTTTGGACTTGCAAAATAGATAGAATACAGTATCACTTCTTATTTTATTCATATTTTTTTAATCATTGAACAAAGTATAGATTTAATTGCACAAGCAATTAGTTATGAAAATTACATTTAAAAAAATATAAAAATAAGAAATATGTAAAAAATGAATTTACAGTATAATCAATAATGTATATAAAAACCAATTGCCAACCAGCTCCATTTTGGTGAAAAAGGTGTATCTGTACTAACAAAAATATTTATTTATTTATTTTTTTAATAAATTACTTATATCTATTATAGATAGACAGACAGACATATTAAATACATACTTTTAAGGATAACTAAAGCACTTTGACATAGGAAGAAAAAAAAAATTCCTTTCAAAATGTCAAAGATGAAGTCAAATCTCTAGACTTACTTCTGGCATTCGTCCAGAGTGAGGACGTGTGGATGGTCCTCCTCAGACAGGGAGACCACCGTGTCTCGGTTGAAGGCGTTTGGTCTGGTCTGGTCAATGCTGTGACGGGTGACGGTGGCTGTGGTGGAGCTCGTCCAGTACAGGACGTCCCATCCTCGGTGGTACGCCAGCCCCTCCACAGAACCAACATCTACAGAAGGAAACATGACAACAATGCGGTGACCTACTACACACACTTTAAAGCCTGAAATGATGCACAAATACTTATATCTAGTCATTTCATACCTTCTATCAATCACATTGCCATGCACAAATGCAAGCAGTTGATCTGAAAGCCATAAAACCAGATGGCAGGCACATGTTCTTTCAGAAGTGATTCAAAAAGAAGAAAAAGCAGACAGATGGTTGATGTGAAACAGCTAGGTGTCAGAAAAGGTCAAGATGTGTTGTGGAAATCTACGTAAATCAAACTAAATCTAAAAAATAAATAAAAAAAATACACATTTTGTGGTCTTAAAAACATTCGTAAGTAATTTACTTAAATTAAAACACTGCACTTTGTGAAGAACTGGAAAATTATACATATAGTCACACGCAAAATTGACAAATATATAAATTCCTATTTTCTAAAATATATATAATGATACTACAATAGTGGCATGTTAAAATAAATAATTAAAAACAAAAACAGAATGAAAAATAGATTATTTTGCCTAATTTTATGACTTTTTATTTCATTATGTTTTCCAGGTTATATAAGGATTTCACAGTGTCTCACTTCAAGGAGCAAAAAAAAACTTTTTAAAATTATTTATTTTGTTCAAGTTTAAACATGTAGTTGAATGTAACAATAAGATAAATGAATATATTATAAAATATTATAATATGTTATAATAAAACACTCAATTACATTTTAAAACAAAAAGATGAAAAAAAAAATGTAAAAATGTAATTAAAATGTAAATAAATAAAAATGCAATTAAATGTAACAAATGACTAATATAAAATATAATATTTTATATATTACAACAGCACTTTAGTTCAATGTTAAAATTAAAAAATACATAAATAAAAATTAAATAGAAGATTAAGAAGTCAAAAGTTTGAGAATAAATGTGTGACAAAATTAAAGTAATATTTAGAGAATAAAACACTTCTCATAACATTGTATTTTTTCCTGCACTTTTATTTTTAAGTTTTAAAAATTTGCCTGTGAAATAACACAATACTGCAGTAGCTGAATTAACAGTCATGTCATGTATTGCCTATATGCAACCATATCATGTACGACCCGACGCAAAGTACAGCGCATTTTTATAACCTGCTTGGGCCTTTTAGTGAAAAACAAAACTGTGCACTGATCAAACAATTATTCAGTCTTTTTGATGTTGCAATTACATAAAGCATGGGAGAATTTTTTTTTTTTGAGTTTATCCCACTGCAACCTGAGCAGTAGGGGTGTAAGAAAATATCGATACATGTGAGTATCGCGATATTTTGTTTGGAGATACTGTATCATTCTCAAAAACGCAATATCGATATTTAAAAAAAAATTGTATACAAGATTCATGGCCGTTGTTTCGTTTTGAGTTTATATCCCGACTGCTAGATAGCAGTCTTCTTACCTCTGAACTTAAACAGTGACAACGTGTGCGTTCCGCTCCTGGAAGGTTTGTCCCCGCCCGCTAGGGCTGCACGATAAATTGAAATGGAATCGAGATCGCGATTCGACAGAAGCTGTGATTGTCATGCGTATCTTTCAGTGAAGCACGGTTCTGTGATCAGCAGTAAATTTCCATCCAAAGGCTCCAAATACGCCTCGCAGAAGAAACCCAGAAAATCGCTGCAGCTGAATAAACAGAAGATTCAACTGCTTTCATTGATTCAACGTGACTAATAAACGACTACGACAATATACGGTTTATCTGAGTTTTTATTATTATAATTTTCATTCAAATAAAGTACATTTATAATGCAATGCAATTATCACTGCTTAAATACTATGAAATATGTGGCTATGTGTAGTAAATTCTGCTCCATCTGAAAGCACATGACGATGATTTCCTGCTGATTACAGAACCGGCATTACTATCAAAATGCGCATGACAATCACATTTGATTAATCGTGCAGCCCTACCGCCCACTTCCGCAAACATTCTAATATCGCATATAATTTTCGCGTATCAGGGAGCTGCTATAAATGGGAAGTATTTCAATCTCTTTTGAATGAGCGCTCACGCTGTTCACTTTCGATTTCGCAATCACGCGCATTCTGTGTAAAGGGTGCGCATCTTACAATATAAGATATTTGTCAATGAGCTCCGGATCCGTTGAGTAGCAAATCCTCCACCATGGTCTTATAGATCATCCCTACTCTCGACCCATGATCAGTCAAATCTGACTCCTGCAAGCACTTAATTGTTCCCCCTTTACTCGTACAACACAAAAAGTGGTTAAATAGCATTGAATGTTACAGGGACAGATTAATGCAAATTTCACTGTGTTCTGGTTAAAAAATAATAATAAATAAATTAGATTTTCCAAAATCGTTCAGCCCTAACCTGTAGTATGAAAACTTACTGTTAACCAATTAACAGGTTTTTAACTGTAGTATTTTTACAGTCTTTTACCGTTAAAATAACAATAATTTTTTACAGTGTATGCATTAAAAAAATACCAAGTATAAATAATTAGGCATCAAATATTTAAATTATGAATGTCTGCCATTTTTCATTTATAAAACACTTGAATTGGATGTATGGTTTCTAACCAGTGCTGTCAGGCAAGAGAAGGCTATGTAGTACTTTTCATTATGATGTTAAATGCATATTTTAAATGCTGGTATTTCTTGAGTATGTGGAGGCCGTATCATACCCGAGTAGTTTGTTCAAAGTTAGCAGATTTTATCAGCAATTTTGATGCATCCATCTACTCCCCTCAGTCTGACTGCAGCTATTCCACTAGTTTCCCCCACATTCTCTCTCATAGGCAGATGTGATTTCACTTAATTTTTAAAACACTTTTTTCATATTGATACCACAAAAATGTTAATTAGCCTGAAATAGTTTTTTCCTCACTTTGATTATTAAATTTAACAGACCCCTTAATGAATAAAAATGTACACTTAAAATTGGTTTTCGGGTTGGGCCGATAGATGATGCCATCGTCGCTGGCTGACAGACATCACGATGTTAAGCTGAGGGGTATAGTATAGGCGACTGTATATAAATTGCGGGCATCAGGGAGCCGCTATTGAAACCGCTTTCGATTGCGCGCTCTCATTTTACTTTCACTTTCACGATTCGCGATCACAAGGACTCTATACTATGGAGCGGCAGTACTTACCACACATTTGACAAGATTAGATGTTTGTCATTGGTGCTCAGGATCTGCAAATCATTCGCCATCGTCCTATCATACATTTCTCCTTACTCGGTGTATGTGGTAAGTAAACTTTCATGTACTGTAATGCAACAGGCTAGAAGCTGTGATTGTCATGCGTATCTTTCAGTGAAGCACGGTTCTGTGATCAGCAGTAAATTTCCATCCAAAGGCTCCAAATACGCCTCGCAGAAGAAACCCAGAAAATCGCTGCAGCTGAATAAACAGAAGATTCAACTGCTTTCATTGATTCAACGTGACTAATAAACGACTACGACAATATACGGTTTATCTGAGTTTTTATTATTATAATTTTCATTCAAATAAAGTACATTTATAATGCAATGCAATTATCACTGCTTAAATACTATGAAATATGTGGCTATGTGTAGTAAATTCTGCTCCATCTGAAAGCACATGACGATGATTTCCTGCTGATTACAGAACCGGCATTACTATCAAAATGCGCATGACAATCACATTTGATTAATCGTGCAGCCCTACCGCCCACTTCCGCAAACATTCTAATATCGCATATAATTTTCGCGTATCAGGGAGCTGCTATAAATGGGAAGTATTTCAATCTCTTTTGAATGAGCGCTCACGCTGTTCACTTTCGATTTCGCAATCACGCGCATTCTGTGTAAAGGGTGCGCATCTTACAATATAAGATATTTGTCAATGAGCTCCGGATCCGTTGAGTAGCAAATCCTCCACCATGGTCTTGTAGGTCAACCCATGATCAGTCAAATCTGACTCTTGCAAGCACTTAATTGTTCCCCCTTTACTCGTACTGCACAAAAAGTGGTTCAGTAGCGTTGAATGTTACAGGGACAGATTAATGCAAATGCAGATTTCACTGTGTTCTGGTTAAAAAAAAATAATAATAAAATATATATATGTGTGTGTGTAAATTAATTTTTTAATTTTTTTGCTAAGGTTTGCATATAGTGGTGTGTTATAAATTACAGTTTTCCTAAAATTATATCCTATTCTCCTATTCCTAAAATAAGAAATAATAGATCATCCCTACTCTCGACCCATGATCAGTCAAATCTGACTCCTGCAAGCACTTAATTGTTCCCCCTTTACTCGTACAACACAAAAAGTGGTTAAATAACATTGAATGTTACAGGGACAGATTAATGCAAATTTCACTGTGTTCTGGTTAAAAAATAATAATAAATAAATTTAAAAAAAATAAATAATAAATAAATAAAAAAAAAAAAAATAAAAAAAAATAAATTAAAAAATAATAAATGTAAAAAAAAAAAAAATATAAATCACGCGCATTCTGTGTAAAGGGTGCGCATCTTACAATATAAGATATTTGTCAATGAGCTCCGGATCCGTTGAGTAGCAAATCCTCCACCATGGTCTTATAGATCATCCCTACTCTCGACCCATGATCAGTCAAATCTGACTCCTGCAAGCACTTAATTGTTCCCCCTTTACTCGTACAACACAAAAAGTGGTTAAATAGCATTGAATGTTACAGGGACAGATTAATGCAAATTTCACTGTGTTCTGGTTAAAAAATAATAATAAATAAATTAAAAAAAAAATAATAATAAATAAATAAATAAAAAATAAATAAAATAAAATAAATTAATAAATAATAAATGTAAAAAAAAAAAATATATATATATCTCCAAGACAGCAATGAGATACAATGAAGAGCAAACTGACACTTAAATCTCCTGCTCTTTTGAGAAAAAAAAACACCGTTTAGTCTCACATGCATCTCCTCTAGTGTTCTACATGAGATCTCAAAAAAGTTTGTTACAAAGTGTTTGCAGATTTGCTAATGTCTGCAATCCATCATGTGTCGCAAACACTTCAAGTCAACATAAATTGCCCGTTTGCAACCCATTTAACATCTGTGCTATCAGGTTTTAGGAGTGAAACAGATATGTAATGGGCAGTGTTTGATATTAGCCAGAACTGACAGGAATAGTAAAAATTGGGCATTTGCAAAAACAAAACAAAATCTAATACTATTAAAAAATGCAAATAAAATACTATTAAAGTTGTATGTTTATATTGATACGTGAATTAGATTTTTTTTTACAGTTTTAGTAATAAGTTTTAGTGTTGTGTGTTTGTCTTATATAGTTTATTTAGTTTTACATATTTTAGTACTTTAAACAAAAATGGGAAATCTTATTCTGTTTGTATATTATTGTATAAATATACAAGTTAAACATTGTGAACTCACCATTCACAATAAAATGATTGTATTAACCATAACATTAATTAAATATATATTCTTTTTTTTTTCTCCTAAAATAAATGCAACAAAACCCTCCACCTTCTCCAGCTCCACCTGTATAGATCTGTAGGGGGTAATTTAATGTCTGTTATATATGGGGGTTATTTCATCTATGTTATATGTGCAGCAGCAGTATTTCCTACATGCTCACAGCAGCATGACTGTGGATGTATTGGCAGTAGCAAATATCTGTACTTGCTCTGCCGCCGCAGCAGCGTAGCAGATCTATTCCTCCAAGACCAAACACGTTAACATCCCCAAGTACAGGTACTGTATATTACAATGCTAAACTCTCCAAGAGTTGTCATGACAGACCTTTAAGTGAGTGTTAAATGATGGCAATGGAAATCTAAAATGCAAAAACCAGGAAGAAATAAGTATGCAAAAATAAATATACAATATTGATATAAATTAATTAATAAATAAATACTAAACCCACTATGATACCAACATATCATGCATCCATAGAAAAATCGTAAAACAAGGAAGACCAGGAACAAGTGCTAAGAAAGCAAACTTGGCATTAAACAGCAATAACCTGGTATTTTCTTATCAGAGGTCAACAGGAACAAGGCTCCAGATGAAAATGACTGGTTTTAGGAATGAAGGCGACATGACATTTCCACTTCGGGGTCCGACGAGAGTTACGTAAGACAGCCGAGGCCTCCGTGTTGCCTTGGACACGTCTCCTGTACTATATGTTACGTGTGTGTCAAGTGATCACATCCCGCCTGCGATCCATCACCGTCCTCTGGCTAACAAAGACAGATTTCCCCCGGCTGAGACTCAGCGTTGGCATCACTGTGTCTCACTCTTTCTCTAAAGGCCTGAAGGCTGATCAAGTGCTGTCAAACCCCTCTGGCATAGTTCACGCTCGCTGTCTGTCTGACGTCTTCCCTCTGCATGTCTCTCTCTCCAAGCCAATACTCTCGCAGTAGCTCTCTTTCACCCCTAACCCACAATCGATTTTCTTCACACGAGGATAAAAAGCCTTCAGGGCTTGAGGTCTTGTGTGCTTATGGAGTCTTGACTAAGTAAAACCTTTAATTCTTTCTAATATTCTCTCCTAAATTCCCTTAGAATTACAATGGCCTCTCTCTTCATTCATAAACCAGACATGTCTCTCTTAAATGACTAATTATACTTTGGTGTTGTTAGTTTTTTTGTGTTTTCTACACTGATTAGCCTTTCCGTAACTTAGTAACATGTCTAAAAATAACCCTGAGTTGTGAATAGAGCATAAATGAAGTGTTATTTTAAAGAAACTGTTCACCTAGAAGTAAAAAAGGCACATTAATGTGAAACACGAAACACAAAAAATTATATTTTTAAAGAATTCTACTTGCTAATTTCATGCAACTACAAAAAAAAAATCAGGACTGGAATGTTCAAGCTTCAAAAAGATACAAAAGAGACACTATACTTCAAGTCTTCTGAAGTTATATGAGTTCTGAGTGAAAAACTCGAAATTTTTGTCATTATTCACTAAATTTGGCACATTCATGAGAGAAGCGGAGATGAATCAGGAGTGAAGCTTTTAGATCAGAGCTTTTGAATGAATCAGTTAATTTGTTTACAAAACGGGTCTGAATGATTCATTTATGAATCGGACTGATCTAGTTCTCAAGTTTAATTTACTGACTCAATCTGAATGCAGAAGTTTACAGCTCACTCATCCAGATGTTTTTCCCAAATTTTGACAATATTCGATACATATCCTGATATTATTACTCAAGACTGATTGACTCTAAACTTGAGATTTAGATAAATTTAAGTTTAGATTTAATTATCATTTAGATAGATTGATTCATTCAAAGGATCTGCCTTAATAGAATGATTTGGTCATAATTCTGGCATCTCTACTTTTTATTTTTTATAAATAAACATGCCAAATTTAATGAATAATGGCTTAAATTAGAAGAAATAAAAGAAAAAACAAAAAAACAAAATCCTGGAAACTCCAGTTCCTATTCATTGGTATTGCATGGAAATGAGCAACTACATCATTCTTTAAAATGTCTTCTTTTGTGTTGCACAGAAGTAAGTAAGTCCAACAGGTTTTGAAACAACAAAATGAGTCTGACTAAACGATGACACATTTTTCAATTTTAGGTAAAGTACACCTTTAAAAAGTCATCAACAGCTTGCAAGAACAAACATGCTGCAATTTAAGTGTAAAATAACCCCGAGGCTCTGTTGCGAGCACAGGAAGAGGCAGGCAGGGTGCGCCTATGACAGTTTTGATAGTCGTATACATGAAGAGCAAAAAAGATTAGGTGTGATTCCTCTGTCTGTGAAAGTTCACGCTGACTGAACAGGCTAAGCTGTTGTCAAAAAAAAAAAAAAAGACTAGGAAGCATTATTAACAGCGTGACGAAAACAAAGTCTTTATTAATCACCAGCACTGGTGAAAACTATAGAGGTCTGAGTAAAAGTCATCGAGCCGAGCAACTGTCTGGTCTTGAACTGGCTTTGATTTAAGCTGCAATGTCAGATTTGAGCCTTCCTGTGAACAAAAGCTATCTTTGGAGATGTTAGAGCAACACAGTTATAGCTGTCAGATGAAATGTACAAAAACATGCCCAGGTCAGATTTCACCCCAAAATCAAAACTATTCTCATGAAAATTAAGAAAATTATTGACAAATTCACATTCCCATGCTTGCCAGGTATTATGAGATTCATCCTTATTTACCGCTCTGACGAGTCAGTTCACTTTAAACTCAATTTAAAAAATAATATCGTCACAAATCAGCTCATATAAAAAAAGTCACTTCGACTAAAGAGCTAGCAGTCATTCCCTCACCTCTATCAGCCCTCAAACAAGAGTACGTACAGACAAGCTGTTTATCAGCTGAACGCCAGCACACATGCTTGCAATATATCAGCATAAATTCATGACACAGGATAAAGCTTAGCATCTAGGGTCAGGTGTAACAATCTGAGCGCCTGCGACAGCCTCGTTTGACAAATATCACATTTCCTCTCAGGCAAGCTATTGTTCAGCACGGCAGCTGCGAACTGACAGCTCTGCAGGTTAATGGCATACTGATTAAATGAGATGCGTGTTAATGTTGACAAGGTTAGGGCCTGATAAATCACAAGAAGTATGAATTTCAATGCCAGCTACTGGGCTGCCGCTTTATCAGAGTAATTGGCTGTACCCTGTGAGGATAATTTATTTACATTTTACCACCGTTAATTGGCCGTGATGCTGCTACAAATATGAGCTGCATTGCAAATAAAGCAAATAAATATGTTAATGAAAGCACAATGGACAGACAACATCAGGCCGGACGTTCCAATAGAAGTGTTCTGGAAAATGGTCAATACGTTTTGACAAGTTTGACAACCAATTTCCAATTCTTTCAAATGTTTCTCACAGACGTGATGTAAACTATAAACATTAAGGATGTCTGAAAAGCTCTGTAAAAATCATTCATCAGCATTATTCGGAAGGTATCGGCTTTCTAAACAATGGTTAAGTTACACCAGGGTTCTCAATGCAACGACTTGCTATGTCTGCAAAACAAAATACAACAAAAAAAGTGCAACTAACAACACAAGCAAGAAAAGTAATTAGACAATATTACTTACTCTCAGCAATGACGCGTTGTCCTGTCCAGTCGTCATTGATGACTTGTATATTTCCATAATGAACATCGCTTAAGAAAATCCGATTGGTTCCGTGCACTTTCTGACGATGATCAAAGGCCAAAGCTATAACGTTTTTAAAATAATTTGGGTTCTCGTATGCCCTGATGGGCGAGTTGAGGTTATTCTCGTCCGATAGATGAATACTCCTCAAAATGGTCCTCTCAGAGTAGAGCAGGTAACCCTCGTACCTGTTGCACCTGAGTCCATCCTGAGCAAGATATCCGTGAGCACAAGCACAAGTTTTCCGGTTATTCCCCAAGTAAAAACAAAGTTGCTGGCATCCTCCATTCGCTCTGCTGCAAGCGTTCGTACCTGGGTAAGTCAGAAAATCTGAAATCAGACTCCCTACAAAGTTTCAAAACCAAAGGTGTCAAACTCAGTTCCTAGAAGGTCACTGTCCTGCAGAGTTTAGTTCCAACCCTAATTAAACCCACCTGAACCAGCTTATCAAGGTCTTCAGGATTACTAGAAATATACAAGCAGGTGTTTTTAGAGCTGAACTCTGCAGGATTTTGGCCGCCCAGGAGTGGAGTTTGACACATGTGGTCTAAACCAGTGGTTCTCAACCCTGGTCCTGGAGGCACCCCAACACTGCATGTTTTGCATGTCTCCTTAATCAAAGACACCTGATTCAGGTCATCAGATCCTTAGTAGAGACTCCAAGACCTGAAATTGGTGTGTCAGAGAAAGGAGACATGCAAAATGTGCAGTGTTGGGGTGCCTCCAGGACCAGGGTTGGGAACTACTGGTCTAAACAAATGATACAAGCTAACAATAATTTTGAGACAATAGATTCAGCATGCAAACAAACTTCAAAAACCAAGAATTTTCTCAGACATTTACTGCTACGACATCAAGTTTAATTGATCTCTTTTACACATGGCGTCCATCGTCAGGCGTTCGTTCATCAGCAGGAGTATCTAATCCTGCTCCTGGAGGGCAACTTTCCTTTTGAGTTTAGCTCTAGTGCTCATTAATCACCTCTGAACTAGCTAATCGAGGTCTTCAGCATTACTAGAAACTTCCAGGTAGGTGGGGTGGAGCAGGTTGGAGCTAAACTCTGCAAAAAGGTGGTTCTCTAGAAGTGGGATTGGACACCCCTGCTTTATCTGGGATAAACTTGTACTTGTGTGCAATGTTCAAAGAACAGGAAAACTGCCATTAAGTGAAACCTCAACCTTTCTCCCGATCCTGGTTAAAGACCTTCACATCTTTCATCCGCTTTAAATTGTGTTCTAAATAGCAAAACAAATGTTCTGAGAAAATACCTTTGCATGCATAATAATGATCATTTTTGTGAACTTGACCATTTGATGGCTTTGGAACATAGACGGCAATGACAGACATAAGGATGCGCTCGTTGATCAAACAGTCCATTGGCTGGTTTGAACAGGTTGAAGACAGTACTCTAGAACCTCTGTTCACAGGTGTCGCGCACAGACAGTATCCTAATGATAACCCCTTTCATGCTCTTCCCAATATTGTGACAAACACCATATTTAAAAGATAGAATTTGAAGGAAACTGTAAGATATGAGCGTGTTATTTTCAAAATGTTTTGTTATTGACGCGGTGAGTCAGACAGCCATTTACACTGCAAAAAAAAAAGACCTATCTCTTTCCATAAAAATATAGGCTATAAACATTCAAAAATACATGTTTACCTTTTAGGCAAATTGCATAAATTAGAATAGTGAAGTTTTCGCTTTCACAACGAAACACAGCGTCACACATCGCGGCCTAGAGTGAGCGGCAGCCGGCAGGCTTGCGGCAACCACATGTCAGCTCCACTTCATCCACGATGAAAGCCGATCCAACAATCCACAGCGCGAAGTTTATGTATTTCCTCAGCGACCAGCACGGATCAGTTCTAGGCATGATGAAGTGGATATCGTCCTCTTTTGGAAGGCCAAACAAAGTAGTTTCGCTTTCACAACGAAACACACAGCGCCTTCATGACATGGCACAAGCTTTGAGGTGCTAATTGCACATGCTAACTGCTCTCTAGACGATCATAGGTCATTAATTTAAATGCTGTTGCCACACTTGGGTGAAACTGAAGCTTAGCATTAGAAAAAAATAAACCACAGTGTATTTTCAGAGTGGAAACATACAAAGGCAGATACATACCCTTTCACTGGGTGTACAGCAATGGCTCTGGGTTGATCAAGACCGTCAGATATCACCACGGCGCGGTACATGCCGTTCAATCGTGCAACCTCGATGAGATTAAAGCCATGGTCCGTCCAGTAAATATTACCTTTGGATGCAAAGCAACAAAGACCCTGAACCAACAGAGAAACAATAAGCTTGACAACATCAATTTGGAAATGCACAGAAATGCTAAAATAAGAGAAACCTTCACACCTGCAATCCAGTCCACTGCTAGTCCTTCAACACGTCCGAGACCGCTTGTGATGATGTCCTCTCTCCAGGTCTGATCTCGACTGGATCTAGAGATTCTGTTGGAGCCCATGTCTGTCCAGTACAACGTGTCATTTCCTAAGATATGCAATTAGAAAATAACCCATAGTTAAAAGGTTTGCCTAAACCAGTGGCGGCTCGTGGGTTTTAAAATAGAGGAGGCACACTAATTGTATTGCTCTGGGATCCCTGCCGATTATTATTATTATTATTATTATTTGCTTAACCACTTTAAAATGGCTTTTTGGTTGCTTTTAGTCAGAAAACATAAAGAAAACGACATACATACAGCAAGATAATATAATTTCACTTACCTGGCCTTTCACTTGAAGCAAACATCCATCCCTTCTTAAAAGTCTGTGTTAAAAGAGAGCTGCCTGTTGCGCCATTTAATTAAGCCGACTGCTGTAGCCTATATCCAGCTTAGGCGTGTTTTCCCTTTTTTTATTTGTATATATACACTATTTGAATGACAGCTTGGTAAATCTGTTGGCAATCAAATACTCAATATCGCTACTCATCATAAGTACTTGGTACATTATCAGCGCAGCGGGAGACGTTCAAACTAATATCAGGTAATTTACGTCTCTGTGATGATTGGTTGATATCAGAAGGGAGGCTAGCCTCCCCTACGAGGTTTCTTTTCTCAACACTCCTCAGCGCTGAAAGTGAACACTCGATGCTGATTGGCTATTTTTTTTTTACCAACGGCGGCACGAGAGCTCAGCTCTCACCCGGCCACCCCCTACCCTTTCTCAATCATTAGCGGTTGTAACTACATCAGCAGATTCGGCACATTCGCGATAGAAAAGCGGCGCTTTCACGTTATGGTATTACAACTGTGAAATTACAAACAAAAAATACACATTATTAGACATGAACTGAAATTAATTGTGAATTTTATTAACATTAAATCGTCCTCCTCCCATTTTCACCTCAAAATGATGGGGAAGCTGTGCCTTCCCTGCCTCCCCCGACGAGCCGCCACTGGCCTAAGTTAGATTTCTAGTTGTGTCCTCTTTTGGAAGGCCAAACAAAGTAGTTTCGCTTTCATAACGAAGCACACAGCGTCTCGGCGATATGGCGGCGGCGGCAACAATACTACAGCGAGAATAAAAGTTACGCCTTATTTCTTTGTGTGAACATTTGGGCAGCGTTATGCAAATCTTCCCACACAGTGATGTAGACATGTGGGGGCGTGTTTAAACGAGCCGTTTTAGGAGGGCATGGACGAGTCTTAACTTTTATAAAGAATATCTCTTTGGGTTTGAGACCTTAGTCTTTGCAACTTTAGGGATCTTATATATTCACGAACAGCTTGTAACACTCCAAAGAGAAAGGAAAACTTGAAATTGTGTTCGTGTCATTTTTATTAATTTTTGTTTACATTTTGTTTGAATATTTCTATATAGTTTTTTGTATTTTTAATTTATTTTAGTTGTAGTTATGGTACATCACGTTAAATGAAAATGAGAAAAGTTGCATTCAAAATAAAATTTAAATAATAAAATAAAATAAATGTTTTTTATATTTTATTTTATTTCAGTTAACATTTATTTTATTTCAATTAACTTTTTTTTATTTTTAGTTAACTATAATAGTCCTGCTAAATAAAACTGAGAAGTGTTGCTTCGGCAATTACCGTAAAAAAAAAAAGTTAAAGTAAAGGGGTTTTTTTTGCCTATTATGTCACAGCAGCGAAGAACTGTACACATTCTTGTGCAGGTGGGCAATTTTGAATAAACAAGGTCGCGTGCCAAGCTCCACCTACAAAAATGGGTCTGTTTCTGCTGGCCAAAATGTCTTTGCCCTTTCCCTCTCATTCAAACCTGTCTTTTCTCCAGAACAATAGAGGCTAAAAAGGCCCAAGGTACCCGTGATTGTCCTGGCTCCCATGGTCTGTCCCTTTCAAAACGCTTTTCATGAAAATTGCTTTGACTTGGCCGCACAACATTATCCGTAGCTTCATGCATCACTAGCTCCTCACCCACTCAAAAATTTACATTATATCCCTTTTGACAAAAACTCCAATGAAGCCCATTCACACTGTTATGAGACATCAGCTCATCTGTCCAGCTAATCTGTTCAGATTATCTTCCATCTGTCATAACAGCATATCGCATCCCTTCACCTCAACTTGCAATGAAAAAAATATTTAGACAAGCAATGCAAAGCCAATATTTGCTCTATCATGCAAATGGAGAGCTGCAAACTGTCTGTCGCTGATGCAAAGTGTAGCATTTCTGTATCAGTGTGGAGACATCTGTCCAATTACTGCACTATAGAAATCTGTCCAAAATACTGGCAGATACCCTGCAAATGAACGTTTTCCCCATGTCAAGAGGTGATATGTTGTTAGACACATGGCATGGCAATGCCTAATTGCTTTGGTTTCTAAATACACAACTAATTCAAAGAACAATAACAGCTCATTTGAGAAGAATCAAAACTTTCTACCTAATTATAATCTGTAGTACATAATATATTTTCCCCACATTTTTATACCATTCATTAGGGGTTAACCTCTTTTTATATTAAACATCTAACAGTTTTAACCAATTAATCTTCAAAGCAAATTGTAACTATTACAGTTAAAAAAACAGTAAAAAACATTAAAATACACGTTCCTTAATGATTTAATAATTCATGTAATTGAAATAAAGCTGGAATGAATTCAAATCTAAATATTAGATGAAAAATGCTGCCTTGGTAACTAACTGAATTAAATGTTTAAATTGAAGTAAAAAAAAAGTTACTAAAGCTAAAACTGAAATAAAAAGAATTTTAAAAATAAATATGAAAAACAAACAACAACCAAATTAAAGCACGTAACAAAATTACTAGAACAAACTTTAATTTTAAAAAGAAAATAGCAAACAAAAATAAAAGCTAATTAAAAAAAATGAATAAAGAAATAGTATTAAATAAATAATATTAAAATAACACCATGTACATATCTGTAAAAAAAATATTAAAATGCAGTTTCCTTTGTGATTTAAAAATTCATGTATATAAAGAAAAGGTAAAATAAAATATAACTGTTAGCTGAAAAACGTTTTCACTAAACTAAAAAAGTGTTTAAGCTAAAATATTACAATTATTAAAACTAAAGCTAAAATACAAATAAATATCAAAAACTAATAACAATGACTAAAGCCATACAATTACTACAAATAAAATGAAAGCTGAAATACATTTTCATGTGTGAATTAATCATATTAATTCATAATATAAAATCATAAATTATTTAATTATAAATATTTATTTTTGTTTTTGTGCTTTTTCTTTTATAATCAAAGAGAAAGTGCATTTACCGGCATGATAGTCCAGACCCACGGCGAACAGAGTGCCAGTTAGCGGCATCAAAACTTCAGAGTTATCGCTGGGATCAAGAGACAGTCCTCTTATACCTTCATTAATGGAGTACATCAGGAAAGACTGAAGACCTAGCAAAGAAAAAAATAAAACCAACCCCTGTCCAGGTCAATATGCTCTTGAAATAATAATAATAATAATACCGGAAGGCTAATTATGTCCGTATGCAGAGGTCAAAACTAACGGTCGTACCTTCACAGGTGGAGCGGTCCGGACGAAGGTTGTAGCCCGTAGTACAAGAACACGTCCGTGTTGTTTCAGAAGTGGGAAGGCAAAGCTGGGAACATCCGCCGTTGTTCGGTACACAAGGATTGCGACCTACGAAGAGAATTCGAGAATCTGTGAAGGTGAACAGGTGTATCTAAAGCTAATCTGTCAAACTAGCTTGGGGACTAGCTTGTGTACCATCTTAAACCAATTTCAAGAACATCACAAACAAAAAGAAGTGAAAGGGGAAAAAAACGGTGGCGCTTTGACTTTGCTCCTCGGACACCTCGACAGAAACACCCCAGTTCATTTGAAGTGGCGTAATGAGATGGGCCTTCGCTCCCATGAGGTCCATGTCAGAGAGATAAATGTGGGAGCTAATTGGTATGAGGAGATTTGAGAAGGAAGCAAAAAGATTTACCTTTAAGAGTCCCTAATTGCCTTTTTTTTATCCTAATAGAGCGTTTAGAGATCAAGCACTCCTCTGCTAATAGACCTGTCAGTGATATGAATGTCTCTCTCCATAATTCATTAAGAGGAAAGGGCTTTGACAATGTGTAGCCATAGAAACATAACCATTATGAAATATAACCACAGTCCGAGTCATGTGCAACCTCACCTTGAAGAAATGACAAAGATCTTTATTTATTTATTTATTTACTTAATTTTATGTATTATTATTATTAGTGCTTTCCAAGCCAGGTAGTATATGAAATCATATTTTTAAAAATACAATTATATATATATATTAAAAATACTGCTTTCTTTTTACCTTTCCGACTGTCTTTGTCATACACTTTGATGTGGACGACGCCTGTGGTCTTATTCCGAAGAACCGTCAGGTTTTTTCCGTCCCTCTTGTTAACGGTTCCCAGCTGAGCGAGAACATCGTCTGCCCACCATAACTTCCCACCTAGAGAGAAAAATAATGCTTCTGAACAGCTGAAAATCACTGAAATCTCTATTTGAAATGCAAATTTGACAAGTAACATTTACATGAACTTTTCTTTTTTTTTTCAACATCAAGATGCATTCCCCAATTCACTTAAATGCGTCATTTCCTTCCATTTTAAAATACTTAAGATTCAAATAAAACACTGGCTCAACCAATAGCATGAATTTGGGGTGGAACTATCTTTTTGTCAAATCAACGGAAAACAAAAGGAAACCTACATGAAAACAAACAAAAAAAAATTGTTTTTGAATTAATATTTTTAATAAATTTTAATGAATATAAAACAATACAATTAATGCAATTACATTTGTTTTTTTTATTATTTAATATGATTATTATTTAAATATTTATATAATAATAATAATATTATTATTATTATGATCATTTATTTATTTATTGTAACACGTATGTGAGTGTATGTGAGTGTGTGTGTGTGTATAGTCACAAAAAATGCATTTAAATAACCGGTAATATCTGCATGTAACAGTATTTCTGGACACTTATTACATAAATATACTATAAATCTAACTTCTTTAATATTACGTTTGATATGAAACCATTACTAAATTATTCAGTACTATAATTATTAAAATATTCATAAATAATAATAATTAAGACATTTAAAATAAATATAATAAATCATATTTACATATTCAACAAACAATTATAAATAATACATAATAAAACATGCATTTTAAATAATAAAATATTTAGGAAATGCGGTTTAAATAGTTATAACTGCATGGAATATCGTACTTCTGGGCACCTATTACATACATATACTACATATATATATATATATTATATAATATTTTAATATTACTTTTGATATTAAACCATTAATCAATTATTCAATACTACTATTATTTAAATAGACAATTAATATAAATTTATTCTATAATATTTAAATAAATATTCAACAAATAGTAATAAATCTTTATAAGTAGTATTATATATTAATAATCTAATAAATGCATTTTAAAAATGCTGTTTAAATAGTTGGTTATAGCTGCACTTAATATAGTACTTCTGGGAACTTATTTTATAAATGTGACCCTGGAGCACAAAACCAGTCTTAAGTCGCTTCGGTATATTTTTAGCAATAGCCAAAAATGATCTATTTTTCTTTTATGCCAAAAAATCATTAGGATATTAATTAAAGATCATGTTCCATGAAGATATTTTGTACATTTCCTACCGTAAATATATCAAAACTTAATTTTGATTAGCAATATGCATCGCTAAGAACTTCATTTGGATAACTTTAAAGGCGATTTTCTCAGTATTTTCTTTTTTTTTTTGCACCCTCAGATTCCAGATGATCAAATAGTTGTATCTCAGCCAAATATTGTCCTCAATACATCAACGGAAAGCTCATTTATTCAGCTTTCAGATAATGTGTAAATCTCAATTTCAAAAAAATTGACCCTTATGACTGGTTTTGTGGTTCAGGGTCACAAATATACTGTACATATCTGTCCTCTCTGAAACTGAACCAGGGTGAAATGTGTCTTTATCCTTGCTGTATTTCTTTGCAGCGGACAGCACACTGCAAATCCACTAAGCCCTATAGCGTGTCAACTCAGCCTTTAAGAAATGGTACAACACAGAGAAATCAAATATTGTCCTCAATACATCAACGGAAAGCTCATTTATTCAGCTTTCAGATAATGTGTAAATCTCAATTTCAAAAAAATTGAACCTTATGACTGGTTTTGTGGTTCAGGGTCACAAATATACTGTACATATCTGTCCTCTCTGAAACTGAACCAGGGTGAAATGTGTCTTTATCCTTGCTGTATTTCTTTGCAGCGGACAGCACACTGCAAATCCACTAAGCCCTATAGCGTGTCAACTCAGCCTTTAAGAAATGGTACAACACAGAGAAAACCAACCAGGACTCACACACTGTCTGTGATTACACATCATAAAAAGGCATGCAAGTGTGCTGCAGTCTCCCAACATCCTTTTCCCCGGTGACCCGAACCGCTCACGACAAGCTACACATTCTTTTGCCCGTATTACTTGCGAGTCGTGTCTTAGATTGAAGGAGGAGATGTCCCTCGGCGCAAAACCACGCCACCGTACCTCTGCTCTACCCACCCTCTCAGCACTTATGAATCCCATAGGTGCGAGCAGCGGCATCTTAGTCCCCTGGCAGCCCTGAATGGATTACATACAGACGCCAAGAGCAAGCAGGGCTATTCTTAGAGCTCGGCCTGAGCTGAAGCTATAAGCCGTTGGCAGACACAAACCCAGAGAAAATGAATTACGGAGAACAGTGGTGTTGTACACTTCACATAGGGCACAGCGGAGGATCGTTTAGATGCTCCATGGAAAGTTCCTGAATGGAGTTAGGGTACCGAATTTATTCGATGCAAATGAAAACTTGGCTAGAAACTGTTTGAGAGTTTCATACACAGTTTTCATTTTATTCGTAATATATTTGGAGTTACAGATATTGGATTGGCATTTCACAAATGTTATTAGGTAAAATGCAATAAAACTGAACAAATTATACTTAGAATGTACATTTTTAATGATTTGTACAGCTTAAGTAAATGGAAATGCCAACTTCCTGTGTGAGGGGAAAAAGTAAATGCACCCCTACATTTATTGCCTAAAACTACAATTACAAGTGCAAATTAGCAGAGCATCATAAGAGGCAGCACCTCATATAAACCGGAGTATTTCTGTTAAGCTTATGGTACCACTATGCCAAAATAAAGAAAAATCTGCTTCAGTGAAATGTAAAAAATACCTAAAATGTTATATACCGTATAGGGGGTTCTTACTTTTTCCATTACATTCAATTGCATTTCTGTAGATATTTTTGTTTAATAAAAGGTTTCAAAGTCCAGTTTTCATTGTTAATTGTTAAACTGCATGACATTCAGCCTTCAATACGGTAAAAATAATGCTCTAGTCCACATATTTTAACTCTTTAACTCTTAATAGGGTATACTTACTTTTTCACAGAAGACTTTGAATTTTTTGTTGAATAAAAGATTTCAAAGTCCAGTTTTCATTGTTAAATTATATGATGTTTTCCAACTAAAATTGTAATTTCAGTAAGTCCACATACCTTAAAAAGGACTTTCGATGGGGGGGTGCACTTACTTTTTCACAGCAATATATTGGCATGACTGTAAGGACTTATTTAATATGGAAATTTTTTTTCCCCCAGTGCATTTCCTGCAAAAAAATAGCTGTAAATCATTTCCTGTCATTTATATCCCATTATAATCTTTACGGAGTCTGAAATCTTTTGTCGACTGAAACGTTTTTTACATACACATATTTTATATAACACATATATTGTACATAAATGTCACTGAACAAACTACACTTCTATCTCTCATAGCTTCATTTTCATTCATCACATTAAATATTTCCCAAATAAGGGTCAGAAGTTCTTCAAATGTAAGAACGAGCAGACTGTGTCATTTAAAGACAACAATGGTTAATATTATTTACTGGACCTGAACTAACATGAATTAACAATGAACAGCTGTTTTTTATTAACTAACGTTAACAAAGATTTAAAAAAAATATTGCAATAAATGTAATATTGTTCGTTGTTAATGTTAGTTAATACAATAACTAATAATTAATAACAATATTGATATAATTGAATATAATTAATAAAACTAACTAATGGAAACTAACGTAAAGTGTAAAAAAGCATGAATAGAAGTTAAAATTATGTTATTATGTGAGCAGAAACAAGTAAAAGCATAGCGAAGATAACAAAAACAAAACACAAAAACAGAGCAAAACAAAACAGTGCAAAACAAAAAACTGAACAAAACAGAGTAAAATAAAAAACAGCAACATAAAAAAACTGAACAAAAAAGAGCAAACAAAAAACAGCAACATAAAAAACTGAACAAAAAAGAGCAAACAAAACAAAAAAACAGCAAAACTAAAAGAAAACAGAGCAAAAAACAGAGCAAACAAAAGAGAAAATAACAAAAATAACAAACAAATCAAATAAAAAAGAACCAAAAAACCCAGAACAAAACTATAAAGCAAAGAAAACAAAACAAAACAATAAAAAAACTGAGCAAACAAAACAAAAAACAGCTAAATGAAACAAAACTAAACAAAAAAAGCAGAACAAAAACAGAGCAAACAAAAAAAAACAGAACAAAAACAGAGCAAACAAAACAAAACAAAACAAAGAAAACTTACAAAAAAAAGCACAAAACAAAAAAGAAAAAGAAAAAAAGAAAAAAAAAGAGCAATTCAAACAAAAAGCGTTAAAAAAAGAACACACCTACTGTATAAAGCAAAGCAAACAATACAATACAAAAAAAACAAAAACAGGGAAGAAAAACAGCTAGCTGTGCAGCTAGCGGAGTGGTAAGAGAAACTTAAAACTAGTACATAAATATATATTTTAATACATTTGACCACAGATTTACCAATCTAGAAATATTCCCTATAATAACATGTGATTTTCCAACCTATTTTAAATTTGTATTGGTCCAATCAAATTAAGACGGCTAAACTCACATCCCATTCTATTTAAGGCTGAATTTATTTGGCACTAGTTAAAATCAGTTAACATGCACTAACAAAAACAACAACAAAAAAACATTGATTTATCTTAGTTAATATTAATTTCAACATTTACTAATACATTATTAAAATCAAAAGTTATGTCTGTTAATATTATTTACTGGACCTGAACTAACATGAATTAACAATGAACAGCTGTATTTTATTAACTAACGTTAACAAAGATTTAAAAAAATTATTGCAATAAATGTAATATTGTTCGTTGTTAATGTTAGTTAATACAATAACTAATAATTAATAACAATATCGATATAATTGAATATAATTAATAAAACTAACTAATGGAAACTAACATAAAGTGTAAAAAAGCATGAATAGAAGTTAAAATGATGTTATTATGTGAGCAGAAACAAGTAAAAGCATAGCGAAGATAACAAAAACAAAACACAAAAACAGAGCAAAACAAAACAGTGCAAAACAAAAAAACTGAACAAAACAGAGTAAAATAAAAAACAGCAACATAAAAAAACTGAACAAAAAAGAGCAAACAAAAAACAGCAACATAAAAAACTGAACAAAAAAGAGCAAACAAAACAAAAAAACAGCAAAACTAAAAGAAAACAGAGCAAAAAACAGAGCAAACAAAAGAGAAAATAACAAAAATAACAAACAAATCAAATAAAAAAGAACCAAAAAACCCAGAACAAAACTATAAAGCAAAGAAAACAAAACAAAACAATAAAAAAACTGAGCAAACAAAACAAAAAACAGCTAAATGAAACAAAACTAAACAAAAAAAGCAGAACAAAAACAGAGCAAACAAAAAAAAACAGAACAAAAACAGAGCAAACAAAACAAAACAAAACAAAGAAAACTTACAAAAAAAAGCACAAAACAAAAAGAAAAAGAAAAAAAGAAAAAAAAAGAGCAATTCAAACAAAAAGCGTTAAAAAAAGAACACACCTACTGTATAAAGCAAAGCAAACAATACAATACAAAAAAAACTATAAAGCAAAGAAAACAAAACAAAACAATAAAAAAACTGAACAAACAAAACAAAAAACAGCTAAATGAAACAAAACTAAACAAAAAAAGCAGAACAAAAACAGAGCAAACTAAAAAAAACAGAACAAAAACAGAGCAAACAAAACAAAACAAAACAAAGAAAACTTACAAAAAAAAAGCACAAAACAAAAAGAAAAAGAAAAAAAGAAAAAAAAAGAGCAATTCAAACAAAAAAACGTTAAAAAAAGAACACACCTACTGTATAAAGCAAAGCAAACAATACAATACAAAAAAAACAAAAACAGGGAAGAAAAACAGCTAGCTGTGCAGCTAGCGGAGTGGTAAGAGAAACTTAAAACTAGTACATAAATATATATTTTAATACATTTGACCACAGATTTACCAATCTAGAAATATTCCCTATAATAACATGTGATTTTCCAACCTATTTTAAATTTGTATTGGTCCAATCAAATTAAGACGGCTAAACTCACATCCCATTCTATTTAAGGCTGAATTTATTTGGCACTAGGAATAAGCCACATTACAGAAGTTAAATGAGTTGTGAATACCCTTATACATTTATATTTGCACATTTAGCAGACACTTGTATCCAAAGAACATGAGGAACATCACAAGAACAATTTAAAATTGTATGCCAGCTTTATAACCAGCTTCATTTATACGGTTTCCTCCGTTTTGACAAATCGCTCGGTTTTCCTCATTTGCACCTGCTAAATTAATAAATGTAAATGTCACAAAAAAAATCTTTAGGATTTGCACCGGAAATCAACCTTGAGTCAGAAGCCACATGCAAGATGACAGCACAAATTCATATCTGTCTTTGGCCGAGTCTCAAAACCCGCAGAGCTGCTACAATCAGCAAACACAGCTGCGACATCAAAAGTCGTGAGTCATCAAAGTTCAAGAAAAAACCCATGTCAGAACATGAATAGTGTTGCGATTCAATCCCTTTGAAAACAACAATCTCCCTCAATTGATTTGTAATTGCAGTGTACTAAAACAGCTCCACAATTAAGCCTTAACAAAAACCCCGGGGCCCACATTCAGCATAAAAACTATTCCTTATCATTCATACGCCACTGTTCACAAACCATTTATACTGTCTATCACCATACTAATTAAATAGCTCCATTATTTGCTTGGTTATAATTAACCTTACTAAATCAATGCTGATGAAAACAGCCTTCACTCACCCATCACTGCTAATGCCGTAGCTTTCCGCAGGTCTTTTTTCAAGCTGTCAATCACGTCCAGGCCACCCCCATCCAGGTTACACCTATTAATGGTTGCGTTTCCGGAACTCATCCAGTACAGCTTGCTGGCCGAGTAGTCGATAGACAGCCCTGAAAAGTACAAGGAAAATATGAAAACATAAAGCAATGGCTTATACAAAATATGTATATACTTGCCAATACATATGTACGCACATATGCTGTTAATATAAGCATAATTTTTGTTCTATTGAACTTTCTAGTCAAATAATCCAGAAAAAAAACATTTATCACAATTTCCACAAAAATATTAAGCAGCAACTGTTTTCAACACTGATAATAAGAATTGTTTAACAAATAAATATAGCCATGGTGAGCATAAGAGACCTCTTTCAAAACATTCAAATATAAGACAATTTGGCTTTGGAAAGACATGAGGAGGAGAAAATTAGAGCAATTTTCATTTTTTTGGTGAAATATTCCTTTAACTAGATGCCCGAGAGTAAATAAAATGATCCAGAACCTCATTATTTGACCTTATCTTGTCGCAAGAGATGTTTCTGTTAAACATGGCTGATTTAAATAACAGAGAATTGAACATTGTTTCATCTCATGAATATCAACACACATTGTCGCAAACAAAACGTGTCTGGTTATTTGAAATCTGCATTTTCCCCTACAGCAAAGCATGTTTAAATAGTGTTAAAAAAAGTTCAAAAGGTTGTTTTCTCGTTTTACTTCCTTCATCTGCAATAATCCCTCATTCACATCATAATGATAACCGCTGTTACTTAAGATCTGGCTCAGGCCATAATCACATGTACTATGTGTCAGGGAGATTTTGCTTTAATTATGAGTTAAGTGGAGAACCACGAACATCTCAGAGAGCTCTAACAATACCTAGGGCTACTACTACTAGTAGACCAAATTACTATATGTAGATATAACGATTTCAACACACGGCCTAGAGGAAGAGGAGGAATGAGTAAATGGTGCCAAACAAAAAAAGCAGAACAAAAACAGAGCAAACTAAAAAAAACAGAACAAAAACAGAGCAAACAAAACAAAACAAAACAAAGAAAACTTACAAAAAAAAAGCACAAAACAAAAAGAAAAAGAAAAAAAGAAAAAAAAAGAGCAATTCAAACAAAAAAACGTTAAAAAAAGAACACACCTACTGTATAAAGCAAAGCAAACAATACAATACAAAAAAAACAAAAACAGGGAAGAAAAACAGCTAGCTGTGCAGCTAGCGGAGTGGTAAGAGAAACTTAAAACTAGTACATAAATATATATTTTAATACATTTGACCACAGATTTACCAATCTAGAAATATTCCCTATAATAACATGTGATTTTCCAACCTATTTTAAATTTGTATTGGTCCAATCAAATTAAGACGGCTAAACTCACATCCCATTCTATTTAAGGCTGAATTTATTTGGCACTAGGAATAAGCCACATTACAGAAGTTAAATGAGTTGTGAATACCCTTATACATTTATATTTGCACATTTAGCAGACACTTGTATCCAAAGAACATGAGGAACATCACAAGAACAATTTAAAATTGTATGCCAGCTTTATAACCAGCTTCATTTATACGGTTTCCTCCGTTTTGACAAATCGCTCGGTTTTCCTCATTTGCACCTGCTAAATTAATAAATGTAAATGTCACAAAAAAAATCTTTAGGATTTGCACCGGAAATCAACCTTGAGTCAGAAGCCACATGCAAGATGACAGCACAAATTCATATCTGTCTTTGGCCGAGTCTCAAAACCCGCAGAGCTGCTACAATCAGCAAACACAGCTGCGACATCAAAAGTCGTGAGTCATCAAAGTTCAAGAAAAAACCCATGTCAGAACATGAATAGTGTTGCGATTCAATCCCTTTGAAAACAACAATCTCCCTCAATTGATTTGTAATTGCAGTGTACTAAAACAGCTCCACAATTAAGCCTTAACAAAAACCCCGGGGCCCACATTCAGCATAAAAACTATTCCTTATCATTCATACGCCACTGTTCACAAACCATTTATACTGTCTATCACCATACTAATTAAATAGCTCCATTATTTGCTTGGTTATAATTAACCTTACTAAATCAATGCTGATGAAAACAGCCTTCACTCACCCATCACTGCTAATGCCGTAGCTTTCCGCAGGTCTTTTTTCAAGCTGTCAATCACGTCCAGGCCACCCCCATCCAGGTTACACCTATTAATGGTTGCGTTTCCGGAACTCATCCAGTACAGCTTGCTGGCCGAGTAGTCGATAGACAGCCCTGAAAAGTACAAGGAAAATATGAAAACATAAAGCAATGGCTTATACAAAATATGTATATACTTGCCAATACATATGTACGCACATATGCTGTTAATATAAGCATAATTTTTGTTCTATTGAACTTTCTAGTCAAATAATCCAGAAAAAAAACATTTATCACAATTTCCACAAAAATATTAAGCAGCAACTGTTTTCAACACTGATAATAAGAATTGTTTAACAAATAAATATAGCCATGGTGAGCATAAGAGACCTCTTTCAAAACATTCAAATATAAGACAATTTGGCTTTGGAAAGACATGAGGAGGAGAAAATTAGAGCAATTTTCATTTTTTTGGTGAAATATTCCTTTAACTAGATGCCCGAGAGTAAATAAAATGATCCAGAACCTCATTATTTGACCTTATCTTGTCGCAAGAGATGTTTCTGTTAAACATGGCTGATTTAAATAACAGAGAATTGAACATTGTTTCATCTCATGAATATCAACACACATTGTCGCAAACAAAACGTGTCTGGTTATTTGAAATCTGCATTTTCCCCTACAGCAAAGCATGTTTAAATAGTGTTAAAAAAAAGTTCAAAAGGTTGTTTTCTCGTTTTACTTCCTTCATCTGCAATAATCCCTCATTCACATCATAATGATAACCGCTGTTACTTAAGATCTGGCTCAGGCCATAATCACATGTACTATGTGTCAGGGAGATTTTGCTTTAATTATGAGTTAAGTGGAGAACCACGAACATCTCAGAGAGCTCTAACAATACCTAGGGCTACTACTACTAGTAGACCAAATTACTATATGTAGATATAACGATTTCAACACACGGCCTAGAGGAAGAGGAGGAATGAGTAAATGGTGCCCTTATGCAATTACATTAAATACATCTACATGAGGCCATGTAATCTTGCAAATGTTAGATTGTTTGAAATAATACAGCAGATTTGTTAAAGGCCCCTGAAATGCTTAGAAACACACAGCATTACTCTATGTGTTGACGTCATTTTAACTGAAACAGGAAGACAGGGCGGGACATATCAAGCAGCCCCGCCCCTTTTTAAAATAGCTAATAGCGTTCTTTTATATCACAGCTTGGGCTAGAGCCGTTCAGAGCCATTGAGCTCTGTAAAGCCGCATTTGACAGGGTATGCCAGCCACAATCTCATCCATATTGCTATAAAATATAGCATTCTGTGTAGAATTCAAATAGCTCCGATACATTTTGTGGTCTGTGCCGACTCGCGCATGTGATCCGCTCCGTGCTATCGTGTCTCTGAAACGGAGCAGAGTGTGTGTGCGGTGCGGTGGTTAGCGTGACAGCGCGAAACCAGACTTCTTTTTTTCCTCAGTGGAAAGCATATTTACACTGTTGAATCGTTCCCTGTCCCCTATATAGTGCACTACGTGCCATTCACTGTACAGAAAATACTAACTCTGTGGACAAGTGATCGATTTCAGCCGCGGCTTCAGCGTCTATTTTATAGTGTAGGGGGCAGGCGCTTCGGATTCTAGAGAGCATTTGATTGGACAGAAAGTTTGATGAGAAACTGAAGTACGATGTGACGTCAAAAAAAAACGGAAGTGATGAACTGCAAGCTTTGAATGCTTATATCTTCGAAATGCGAATTTTGTCACTGTTTTGGAGCAAACTGCCTTATAGATAACTTTAAGACTAACATATTGATACTAACACACAAAAAACTTTAATTTTGATTTCATGGGGACTTTAAATGTTTTTACAAGTGAAAACAAAACAAAAGTAAAAGCACAAAAGTGAAAAAAAAATCTAAGCAAAGTAAGGCAAAGAAAACAGTGTTGCTAACACCTTACTCTATGCTGTTTGCGAATGAAAAACAAAGCAAAAAAGAAGAGCAAAAAATATTTAATTAAAAAAATGAAGAATGCAAAAAAAAAAGCAACAAAACGGACTAAAGCAAAGGAAAGCAAAAGCAAAACAGACGAAAGCAATACAAAACAAAGCAAACAAAAGCAAAACAAAAACAACGGCAATGCAAAACAGACTAAAGCAAAGCAAAGGCAAAGAAAAGTAAAGCAAAGCAAAGCAAAAAAGATGAAAGCAATACAAAACAAAGCAAAGAAAAGTAAAAACAAAAAATAAAAGCAACAAAACAAACTAAACCAAAGCAAAAGCAAAACAAAGCAAAGAAAAGCAAAACAGAAGATAGCAACACAAAACAAATAAAAGCAACACAAAAACAAAAGCAATGCAAAACAGAAAAGCAAAATCAAAGAAAAGCTAAGCAAAACAGATGAAAGCTAAGCAAATGCAAAGCAAAACGAGGCAAAACAGACAAAGGCAAAGCAAATAAAAGTTACTTGAAATAAAATAAACTAAACAAACATTTAAGATTCATGTAGAAAAGAAAAACTAAACTAAAATTAATTTACCTAAAATAAAAAAAGAAAGAAAATCTAATTCAAGATTTTAATAAAAACTATAATAGCATCTCAATAATACCAAATTAACACCATTTTGGAAGAATGTCTTCACTGTATCACAATGCATTATGGGACTGCTTTCTCCACAGATGACACATGCCTTAGATTTTGTACTAAGTATAAAATACTAAGTACACAGCTCACTACTGTAGGTTTTGGAACTTCAATTTACCCACGGGCTCCTTCTGGTTCTGGTGCAAAATCTTGATGTTGCTGCCATCCATATTGGCCATATTTACAGTGCCCCCATCCATCCAGAACATCTTCCTGTAGACCACAACAAAACAAGAATCATTCAGAGAGATGGATTAGTCTTGAAGATGAAGGATGGGACTCTTCTGTATAAGGAGCGTGACCTGCGTGAAGGTCGGGAAGGTAGAAAATAACTTTATCTTCGCAATCACCTCAGAGCACAAAACAATCAAATAAAGCTGTCTCTATCTCCCTCATACATCTTGATGGCACGCATGAACCTACGTGACTGATGACTTTCAGAAATGTCGACAGGGTCGGAAGCTAAAAGGAGAAGACAGCTGGCAGAAAAAAAATGCAACACGAGGGGCAAAGATCACAAGATATAGGGGAGCGAAATAAAACAACATGCGCACCGTACCGTGCTTAAGATCCATCACTGGATTACAGAATCGCGTTATATTAAATCTCGTGTAAACAATTGTGAGGAACTGGCTCCGTTTTTAATTAGCTTGCATGCCTGGAATCATAATGTATGCTAATTAAAGAGCTGTCATTGACCGGCCCAACAAGGGTAAGATAAATTCGCATTTCTGATTGGCTGACAACCAGTTTGGCATCGTTAAATAGTTTTCATGGCTACAACAATTTGTCAGTCTTAATCAACTCCAAGAAAATCACTCTAATAACTTTAGCTAATTGCACATGGGGAATATAAACAGAGACCTGTTCAGTAATTAGCTTTGTAACTGATGTATCTCACACGCAGATTTGATGGTAACAAAAGGTGACAATTCAACGGAAGTGTGCAATTACTTACTAATAAATAGAATAGCAATCTTTAGCGACACGCAGCTCATAACTTCTCCATTATGGATACGGATACTAACTGTTAGTGTGGTTTTTGCTATGTTACCCTTTAGATGGATGCAGGACGAGACACTTGGGTTTGTCCATCCCGTGAACGACAGTGTTTTTGAGAGATCCGTCAAGACGGGCGACGTTAATGTGGGTCTCGTCGTTGTCTGAGCTCATCCAGTACATGTTTCTGGATAGCCAATCAATAGCCAGGCCACGGACATTAGATAGGTCTGTAAATACAGATATTATCAATAAACAATCTGCATTTTTCATCACATAAAACAACGTAGATATATTGTGAAATTGATATATATATATATTTATTTTATTTAAATTGATCACCTTTCATAAAATGTGGTAAAAATAAATACAAAAAAAACTAAATTAAATTAAAATAGAAAAGGAAGAGAAAATTAGTAACAATATAATATTATATAATAAGCAATGAATAGCCTGCATATTTAGCCACTCTAATAAAACAAGCTTTAATTTAATGTAATTTAATAATTTTTGGTACAGCACCTTTCATAATGTTTTATCAAAATGAAAAGGCAAAAAATAAAATAAAAACTCAAAAGGAAATGAATATAATATAGGAAATTAATTTAATTTAATGTAATTTAATAATTTTTGGTACAGCACCTTTCATAATGTTTTATCAAAATGAAAAGGCAAAAAATAAAATAAAAACTCAAAAGGAAATGAATATAATATAGGAAATTAATTTAATTTAATGTAATTTAATAATTTTTGGTACAGCACCTTTCATAATGTTTTATCAAAATGAAAAGGCAAAAAATAAAATAAAAACTCAAAAGGAAATGAATATAATATAGGAAATTAATTTAATTTAATGTAATATCATATTATATTTATAATTTCTAAATGTATATAAATTATAAATGTGTTTAAAAACATGCAAAAAAGAGGAAAATAAAATAAAATTAAATAATCTAATAAAGAAAGCTGCTCATTGGAAATACTTGTAGATCACAGCAACACAATGACAACAATAAATTAAAATAAAGTATCATTTGAGAAACAATTTGGTTACACTTTTACTTGAAGGGGTGTGCATAAGACTGACATGACACCTACATAATCATGACATGACACATGACATGAATATGAAGGTTTTTTATGCATGTTTATGACAACTGTCATTAAGTGTCATTTGCTCAGTTATGTAATTTTTAATGCAAAGATGACATTGTTTGAGATGTCTTTGTTATGGGCTATGGTTAGGGGTAAGGGTAGGGGTAGGGTTAGGTTAGGGTTAGGTCAAATAATGTCATATTTGCATTAAAAATGACATAACTGAGCGAATGACACTTAATGACAGTTGTCATAAAAATGCATAAAACCTCCTTCATATTCATGACATGTGTCATGTCGTGATTATGAAGGTGTCATGTCAGTCTTATGCACACCCTTTCAAGTAAAGTGTTACCCCATCTTTCTTTGTCAAGACACATTTGACTCTTCTTTCAATAAAAACAGGAAAACAAAAAGCAATTTTAAATGTGTGAGATAATAACTGTCCAAATTAACCTCGACATACCTCCTGATAGGACGGTTTCGAGTTTGGTTCCGTTAATGAACGCCCGTTTTATAGTTCTGGTCTTCACATCGGCCCAGTAAATCCTCTCGTCTCCAGCATCGTAATCCATCGCCGAGACGTCATCGATATCGGGTGCGGTGAGGGCCATGATGACGTTGAGGTACGGGTTGTCGATGTCCACTCCTCGAATCTCAGATCTCCGAGCATATAACAGAAACTTCTTCACACCTGTTCATGTTCATAAATATATAATCAACTTAAAATTCACCCTCAACTGAATTCTGTTTCTCTATCTCTAGTATCACCGGGAGTGAAAAATATGACCTAAATCAGTTAACGGGACAAATATAATAAGGGGAATTGAGTGTCCTTACAAAGGCAGTGCTATAAAGACATACAACTCGAAGGACTCATACTGTAAATTCTCCTTTCTTGACCTCCAGAGAGATCTCTAGGGTGGCCGGTAAAGAGAGATCTCCATTTCAGTCTGTAATGAGTTTAGGTAGGTCGCGTAAGTCTCCTGATACACGCTATAATTATTCCAATATCAGACATTCTGCTTTACATCAGCTCCATTCAATTGTGGATTGCTCATTTTAATGAAGAAGCCTATAGACCAATTCAGAGTAGACGTCACAGTTACGTCACTTGCAGCTGCGCGCGCATAGTGGTTGCAGAAAAACACTGGGAACAAGTGGAGTTATATGGGTAAAATCCATGGAATAAAAGAAAAAAATATTTTTGTGCCTTTTGATGTCAAGATCGGAATGCAAATCATTTTTATAGAATACTTTCGTCAAAGACGCCATTTGAAGCTAAACGCAGACGTTTAAATGGATATACTATGGATGAAAACTGTTATGATTACTCTACTTTTAAAGCATAAATTCGATTTAAACAATAGGTCTACATAATATTCACATATGCTGTTCATAGGGGACGTATTGTATTAGCCCGAAATATTATTTAAACCTTAATACTATTAGAAATATTATTTAAACCATTTTATCTCACAATTCTGACTTTTTTTTCTCTCGCAAATGCAAGTTTATATCTCCTAATTCAGACTTTATAACTCGAGCCGAGGGGAAAAGAGAATGACGAGCTGTTTTTCCTTATTAGAATTGTGAGATATAATCTCGGAATTGTGAGAATAAAGTCAGAATTTTGAAATATAAAATCAAATTTACCTTTTTTTAATTCTTTTATTCCATGGCTCCATAGACTGCCACTTGAAAACCGTCATTTTCTGCCTCCAGATACGCTCCGCCCACAAAAAATGTCATCCCTGTTTCGGATCTGTAAGACTATCCCACTCTCTAACGTCAATTTCGTTGAATAACAGTACTTATCGCTGGGTGACAAGCTCTTGTAATATGCGGAGAACATTTTGAAAATGACATCTAATCAATATAATTTATAATCTTTTTAAACCTAACTATTTTGCACCCTAACGTGAAGGCTATCTCTCCCGGGTTTTCTGCAACCATGATGCGCGCGCATCCTGAACGTTTACAAACCTATAATTGGTCTATATTTTAATTCGCAACTCATGCCTCAGTGAAGCATCAGTGTACATGAATGGCATTTATTGCCGAAAAATATCACTTTTGAGTCCAAATATCAGATTTTTGCATTAGACCTTGCCATGTATAAAGACCTGTAAGACCTGTAATTTTAATATTAAATCAAACAACATTACAAGAAAAATAGACTACCAATTGCTCTTAATTTATTTACTTTTTTAAAACAAGTTTAATAATGTCATAAAAATATATTTCTATATAGTTTTTTAAATATTACAACATGTAGTTTTTAATACATTGAAAATAAATACTTTAAATACATAGTCGTTTTTCACATAGTCACATATGTGTGTGTGTGTGTGTGTGTGTGTGTGTGCGTGCGTGTGCGCGTGCGTGAATATGCAAGTAATTATTAAGCAAGTAATTATCCAATTATTGTTTTAATTATTGAGAAGATTGTATATATAATTTAATATAACACTATTAATAATTAAATATATTTAAATAAATATAACTAAATAAAAAACTGTGTTGAAATATCAGTGTCTGTTGAATATTGCTGTGATACTTGAAATTCTAATGAGTAGATTTATACTATCCTGGAAAAAAAAAAAAATCACATGAATATGACATTTTATTTACCTGAGTTTTTACATTACAATGTTTGAAAAGCTTTCAAATAATATTAATATATTTGCTATACATTAAATGCACCTTCAAATAAAAAATATATAAAACAATAACAAAATGAGCAAAATAATTTAATAAATAAGAACATTATTATTATAATAAAATACAATGATGAAGGTTGTACTTCAAAGCAATTTTGATCAGAACATGAAAAACCAGACCCACAATCTCGCAAAAATCCTTCACACATCTGTGCGGCATATCACTCCATCCATACCGTAGGTTTATAGCTGCCAATCACTATCTAGAACACTCCGTGAATGTTTCCGCCAGCCCATTATAAGTGTTTAGCTGGAGTCAT